GGCTGAACCGATTTTCTTGAAATTTTCACAGCTTATTCCTGCACGTCTGGAATAGGTAATAGGCTACTTTTTATTTCGAAATTTCAAGTGGGCGATGAGCCACGCCCACATTAAGAAAATATGAAATCCGTATATTTGAGATAATATAACAGTTAGAGTCCTCAAATTTTGTCGGAGCCACTTTAGTGTCAATATGATCATTTAGGACAAAAAGTAGGCGGACTAGCATTAGGGGGCGTGGTACCTCCCATATAAATTAAATACAAAAATTCGTTTATCTGGGAAACTAATAGAACTAAATTCTTAAAATTTAGCACGAAGAACTTTAACATCCATGTAAACATTTTGGGTAATAAATTGGCGGACTACCCATGAGGGGAGCGGCACCTCCCATATTAATTAAAAACAAAAATTTGTTTATCTGGGAAACTAATAGAACTAAATTCTTAAAATTTTGCACGAAGAACTTTAATATTCATCTGAACATTTTTAAGGAAAAAAGAGCGGACTTTCATCTGGGGGGCTTGGAGACCCCATATGAATAAAATAGAAAAATTCGTATATCTGAGAAACTATTAGAGCTAGAATCTTTAAATTTTACTTGAAGAACTTTGACATTCATCTGAACATTTAGAATATAACGGGCGGACTTCCAATGGGGTACTTGGTACCTCCCATATGAATTAAATACAAAATTTCGTTTAACTGGGAAACTAATAAAACTAGATTCTTCAAATTTTGAACAAATTATTTTAATATTCATCTGAATATTTTGTAGGAAAAAGGGCGGACTTTCATCCGGGGAGCTTGAAGCCCCCACATGAATTAAATTCGTATATCTGAGAAACTATTAGAGCTAGAATCTTCAAATTTTACATGAAGAACTTTGACATTCATGTGAACATTTAGAGAATAACGGGCGGACTTTCAATAGGGGGCTTGGCACCACATATATGAATTAAATACAAATTTTTCATAGATAGAAATTGGCGAACTTGCAATAATTTGCTTGGCATCTCTCATATGTAACATATTGTTAATCTGGAAAACTATTGTAGTTAGAATTTTCAAAGTCGTTAAGTGGGTTTTTTATTTAATCAGTTTTAAACGGCTAAACTGATTTTCTTGAAATTTTCACAATATCTTCCTGTATGTCTGGAAGGAGTTATAACTGTTTTTTATGTTGAAATTTCAAATGAGCGAGGTCCCACGTATAGAGTCCCCAAATTTTGTACAAGTAACTTTTGTTTAAATACAAATATTTTGGACAAAAATAGGGAGTTCAGCAAAAGCGGGCGTGGCACCTCCCATATGAAGTAAATACTAAAATCTAATTATTAAAATCTGTATATCTAGAAAACTATAACAGCTAGAGTCCCCAATTTTGGTGCCTCTCACGTGAAGTAATTACAAAAAATTGATTATTCTTACTTTAAAAAATTTTTGAAAAATCTACGTTTAGTGCGTTTGAAAATTATTATATCTTGAAATATGTAAGGTATAAAACCCTTAAATGGATGAGTTTGAAATTTTCAACTCATATACATAGTAGGTACTAAAATTCATAATATTCAAATATTTATCTTGAAAAACATATACATATGCAATATGTTATTGTTTACTTCTAATAAAAATATTATTTATTTGTCGCATATTTAAAAAATACATTAGGTATTTATTGGGCGATGAATGGGCATGTAACATTAGGCAGTAATATTTTCATTCATTACCTTTAATTACCTATGTTATAAAATGTAAACTGTCAATAGTTTACTTTTTATAACTTAGGTAAGTAGTTGCAAAACTCATCAAAAAATTACCTGTGACCGACGCAAGCACAACTATTTGTTAAATTGTAATAACCTTAACCATTTGTTCAAAAGGTTTTTGACCTGAACCGATTTTGTACCTATTCATATTAGGTAAAAAATCTTTAAATTTTACTTGAAGAATCTTGACATTCATCTGAACATTTAGAGTATAACGGGCGGACTTTCAATGGGGAACTTGGTACCTCCCATATGAATTAAATACAAAATTTCGTTTATCTGGGAAACTAATAGAACTTGATTCTTAAAAGTTTGCACAAATTACTTTAATATTAACTTAATGAATCAAATAGAAAAATTCTTATATCGTACATCTTTAAAGTTTACATGAAGAACTTTGACATTCATGTGAACATTTAGAGCATAACGGGCGGACTTTTAATGGGTGGCTTGGCACAACATATATGAATTAAATACAAAATTTCGTTTACCTTGGAAACTCTTATATTATTAAAATAGAAATTGGTGATAGATAAAAACTGGCGAACTTGCAATAATTTGCTTGACATCTCTCATATGTAACATATTATAAATCTGGAAAACTATTGTAGTTTGAATCTTCAAAATCGTTAAGTGGGTTTTTTATTTATACATATTGCTTTTAGGGTAGCAAAGCACACTGGGTATAGCTAGTATATATATATATATATATATATATATATATATATATATATATATATATATATATATATATATATATATATTAATGTAAATTAAGATTAATTCAAAAATAAATAATTAAAACAAAACAGAAAAATATATAAATCCTGCACAATTTTATTTATATATATATATATATATATATATATATATATATATATATATATATATATATATATATATACATATATATATATATATATATATATATATATATATATATATATATATAAATAAAGTTAGTTCATCGGTTTCTTCTTCCCATCTCGGCTAGCCATCTTTATGAAGCGTTAGAGACCATTGCAACGAAGTCGTGCTGTTATACGATTCATAATTGTCATCTGCACAGGCGGTAGCGTACTTCTTTTAATAATGTACTGGTGATGACATCTGTACCTATTATGAAAGGGTACTACTATTCCCGTGAACAGCTCGTTTTCTGAGTAGAGTGTTTTCGGTGACTCGGATATGTGCACATTTATAGGTGCTGTAGTAGCATGAGCTGGTGTGGTCGAAGCTGGTGTTGTCGAAACTGGTGTGGTCGAAGCTGCTGTTGTCGAGGCTGGTGTTGACGAATCTGGTGTTTTCGACATCGTTATTGCACGATTCGTCGATAATAGTGGTAGCGTCGGTAAAGCTGCTGGTGTTGTAGCTGGAGCATCGACAAATGTAATCCTCCTGGTGTATACTAATGGTGGGGGACTGCTTGAAATTGGTGGTTTAATTTGTATATTCTGCAGAATTCTGGGTCTGGCTTCCGGCGGAGGTTGGAACGGTTTCGGTTTTTCCAAATTTTTTTGGCTTTATATTCCGGTTTTGAGGTACTGGTTGGGTACGTTTACGCTCCATGGTTGAAATTGAAAAGAATGATTCTTAATTAAAACCTGCCTTATATACTAGGATAACGGGACTTTTATTAAATTTTATTTGTACTTTTAGCTCTCTGTAGTATTTTCTCTCTGTCTTTGGCTGGTCTCTGTTTTCTTATTACTTTCTTGTTTTCTCTCTTATACTAGACTTCGAGATTTACAGGTTTTAGATCTTGTACATTTACTCTGAACTTCTTCTTATTTTCATCAACAGCTTCGTAAATGTTTGATGCTAAGACTTGAGAAATTGTGTAAGGACCAGAATATTTTTCAGCTAGTTTCTGGTTAAATTTGTCAACTGCAGAGGATAGTTGTCTTTCCCTTTTCCATACTTTTGATCCAATTGTTGGTTTCCTCGGCCTCCTGCGAAGGTTATAATATCTCGCCTTTTTATTTGAAGCCACTCGTTTTTTTTAACAATTTCTTCCCATAATTCAGCCATATTTCTTTTTATCAATTCTTCATTAGGTGAATCGTACTGTAGATGCATTTGTTTGGGATGAGTGGGATTAGTTCCATTAATCATCTCAGCCGGACTAAGTCGTGTGGTTTCGCTCATTGCCGTATTAATTGCAAACGATATTTCCGAGAGACTTTGATCCCACTGACGATGGTCGTTGCCGGTACTTTGGGCTATCATTGTTTTTACTGTTCGATTCATTTTTTCAGTAGGATATTCATGGGGAGCATAAGGTGCAGTTGTAAAGTGCTGGATTCCATGTTCAGTAAGAAAATTCTTCACACATTTACTTGTAAATTGCACACCATTATCAGAAAGGAAGGCTGTAGGACATCCAAACTGGTAAACTACCCGTTCCTTTAATGCTTTTATGACATCTTTAGCCTGTCTAGTTGGAACCAATTCTACCCATTTGCTAAACAAATCAAATATTACTAAGAGCGTCGTATTTCCATGAACGGAACGCGGTAATGGGCCGTTAAAATCTGCAGCAAGATTTCCCATGGTTTCGTACATTGCATTGTGTGCATTATCCCAGCGGCTAACCGTTGTTCTGGTTTGTAACGAGTACAAGTTTCGCAAGATCGTACGTAATCGGATACATCCTTGTACATGCCTGGCCAATAATAATTTTCTTGTATACAACGTAACGTCTTAAGAATACCGAGGTGACCAGCGGTCGGTTTATAGTGATTCTCCTTAAGGACTGTTATACGTTGGTCAGAGGGGATACACAATATCCACTGTGGGCTTGAATCAAAGGCTGTTTTACGAGGGATATGCTTAAATAGTAGGGTTTGTACGTTTTGGAAATCGGGGTACGATTTGTTATTCTTTGTCACCTCATTCATCACACGTTCATACCAGCTAGAGGATGTGATCGCCATATAGGGGTGCCAGACGTACTGATTTTAGCAGTACACGTACTGATTTTTTTCAATTGTACTGTTTTATTCACAACACCCAAATCAGTACGCAAATGTACTGCTTTTCACAATTTGTACTGTTTTTGTACTGTTTTTTTTTTTAAATGCAACAATAAAAAATATATGTCTTTTTTAATGCAACAATACTATTCTAATATTTTAAAACAACAAATTTTGTTCTGTGTACAAAAATCTGCAGATGTTTGAAACACCCTGTGGTACAAAAACACATCATTTATTTGCAACATTGTTATTGTTTTGATGTATTCATATTTTTAGAGCCAACGGAATAATTTTTGACAAAAATTTATAAAAAGTTCAAGATATTTTAAAACAAGTTAAAAATATATAAACATTTTCAAGTTACATATATTATTTAAGCAGTCCAGTAAGATAAATTAAAATTAATAGTATAAGTATGCAGTGTGTATTTGAAAAATTTCCTTTTTAGAAATGGATAATGAAGAAATAATTTCCGATGAATCTTTGTCGGATAGATCAACCACAGATGTAGAAGAAGTAGCGTCCACAACGTATCATAAACGAAAGAAACAAGTTGTCATTCGACGTAAAAACAAATTTAGTGATAGTTGGAAAAATAAATTTAGTTGGGTAACAAGAACTAACAAGGAATCCATGGCCAAATGCATCGTTTGTGGTATATGTTTTTCAATTGCAAATAGCGTTATTACAGGTATCAAGCGCCATATGAAGACAGCAAAACATATGCGGAATTTAGGAAGCTATCAACAAAAACCTGTAAGTCGTTTTTTCAACAATAGTTCGAATAAAGAAACACAAGGAGCAACAGAGGCAAGTTCAATGGCAGAGGCAGCTTTTGTCTATCATACCATCACACATAGCCACAGCTACCAATCCGCAGATTGCAGTAATTAGCTTTTTAAACAAATGTTTCCAGACTCAAATGTAGCTTCTACTTTTACATGTGGTAAAACAAAGTTGTCGAAGATCGCTACTAACATTTTGGCTAAGTATTCTATTGAAACCGTACTTAAGGACTTGAATGATGATCACCCTTTTTCTATATCAACCGATGCGTCAAACAAAGGAAATATTAAAACATTTCCAATTGTTCTCCGATACTTTTCTAAGCATACGGGAGTAAATAAAAAACTTTTGAACTTTTATGAGTCAAATTCGGAAATGTCAAAAGATATTTTATGGATACATAGCCGAAACTGTTTGCAGTAACTGTAGTAACACACAAGAGGTTTCTTTATTTAAAAAACGAGCTGACGCAGTCTTATCATATGTAATTAAATATATTGAAGATCGATTTGATTTAAACAATAACAAATTTGAAAAACTAAGTATTTTCAACATGAATTCAAACATTTTATTTCAAGATTTTACTGAAGTTGTAAAATTGTTCTCAATTAAAAATATTGATATGGATATCCTATTTGATGAATTTATTAGTTTGAAAACTTTTGCTAAAAACGTAGAAACAGAAAAAGCTGTTGACGAAAAATGGAAAGACTTTTTAAACAGTGGAAACTTTCCAAATTTTGAAAAAATTTTATTTTTTCAATACCCCATTCAAATGCCGCCACTGAAGGATTTTCAGTCTGATGTTTTTATTTTGGAGGAAGGAGAGGAATAGACTATTGATTGAAAACTTAGAAAGTGAGTTAATTATAAAAACAAACAATGAATTTTACAATTTTTTAAAAACGGAAGATGGAAAAAATGGTATTTTAAAACATATAAAAAAAAGTGATAAATATCTTTAAAAAGTAATATACTAAAGAAAAGAAAATAATATAATATTGTAACTTTATATAAACATATACATACTTATGTAAATATATAAATAATTAATAATCTAAAAAACATAGTATGTACTTATATGTAAAAATATGTTAATATTATTTTTGAAATAGCATATACTTATGTAATTTACTCTATGATCTCATATTTCAATTGTTTTTTTTTAATTAATACTAAAAAATTTTATGAATTGAATAAATTGTTATGTTTTTTGAAAGCGTACTGCTTTTTCATTAATTGTACTGTTTTTTTTTTCCTAAATGTACTGTTTTTCCGAGTTTCAAATCTGGCTACCCTATCGCCATAAGATAATCATTAGACTGTATAGGTAGAGGGGCGCGAGATAGACAGTCGGCCACAACATTCAGGCTCCCTTTTCGATATTCGATATTAAAATCATATTGTTGGAGCTCCAGAGCCCATCGTGCAAGTCTTCCTGAGGGATTCTGGAGGTTATGGAGCCATTTTAACGAATGGTGGTCAGTTATAACTGTAAATTTGTAGCCTTCAAGATACGATCTCATCTTACGTATTCCCCATAATATGGCGAGGCACTCTTGTTCGGTCGTTGAGTACTTTTTCTCCAATTCTGTCAACGTTCGGCTTGCGTAAGCAATAAAGTCTCAGCTTCTGAATGTCGCTGAAAAAGAACTGCCTCTAGGCCTTCTTGACTTGCGTCGGTTTGGAGGAAGAAAGGTCTGTTAAAGTTAGAACAACTGAGAATGGGTGCTTGTGTCAAAACCAACTTCAAGTTTCTAAACGCCTCTCTCTGACTGTCTCCCCATACCCATTTGACTCGTTTTTTTAATAGTTGGTTCATAGGGGCGACAACCACTGAAACATTTGGTATAAATCGTACCCGTCGTAATTCTTTGATGTTTGTAGGTTCTGGGAGTTTTTGTATTGCTTCAACTTTCCCGGGGTCAGTAGTTATTCCATATTCGCTTGTTGGAGTCGTGTGAAGACGATGTCTAGAATACGTAGGTGTTCATTAAAAGTTCGGCCAAGAATTATTATATCGTCGAGATATACGAATACCAGTGGATGCAAATCAGTTCCAATAATATGATCTAATGTTCTCTGAAAAGTTGCTGGGGCAGAATGTAAGCCAAAAGGCATAACCTTCCACTGAAATAGACCTCTCCCGGGAACAGTGAATGCTGTATATTGTAACGTGCAGTTACAAATCACAAACCTATACCTCTATATATATTTTTCTTTATTAATACTCTCTATACTAATTGCACTAATTAATATTTTCAGTAGTAATTATATACACTATACAAAGTGTTATAATTCCCAATTAGTTTATGTGCATTTTAATATAAGAGATCAAAGATTTTAAGAACAAGGCGACAGTGTTGCCATATAGTTTTTGAAGAAAACTTTTTATTTTTATGAAAAAAACTTTTTTTCAACAAAAAAAATTTTTTTTTTGTACTAAAATTACAAAATACCCAAGAAAAATTAGTGAAAAAATTAGCAAATTGAGGAATTTTAAATAGCTTAATGATAATTGGTACAGAACATTTCCTTAACATCAGTAGCAAGGAATTACTGGATATTGTGGTCTTAGACACCATAAATTTACACTTGAAATGTCATGATGAATCTATGTGGATTCTGTATAATACAAGAGGAAACCTCTGAACTTTTGTAACTACCCGTCATTGGGAACACGAAACACGAAGATTTTGTCTTACCCAGACCCAGATGATATCTTCAAACACCCACCGATTAATCCATTTATCTTCATGCGCGAGTTTGGCCTAGTATGGTGAACCAAAGGGCTGCACAAAATCTCTACAATATGGTCGAAGTGCATTGTCCTTAACGTCTATTCTAAGGGATTAAGGTCATCAACACCGGTCAATTTTTTTTCAGTTTTTAGGAATATCTCGAATATTAATGGTATAAAATATTATTTTGTTAATGGTAAACATTGTTTTTTTATTTTAAACTTATTTATTGATTAAATAAAATAAAAACTGAAAAACTGTATAAATTTTCAAAAAAAATTTTATTGGAATAAAACTTGAAAACTTTTTTGAATCTCAAAAAACTTGCAAAAAAAGGGAAAACTTGACATATGGTAACACTGCAAGTCGAGCAAGAATCGAAGTACCGAATAAGTTACGATTTGTTCCCGGGCAGCAAATTGTAACTAGGCCGAAGTTCTTACTCCATACTAATACCGTAACCGAACCCAGTAGTTAGCCGACCGAGAGCCGAAGCATTTATCTCTTCGGATTGTATTCCTTAGCTAGTCGTAGTTAGCCGACGAGAGCCGAAGAATTTATCTCATCGGATTGCATCCGTTATCTCATTGTACTATTAATAGTCGTTAGCCGACCGAGAGCCGAAGCATTTATCTCGTCGGATTGTATTCCTTAGCTAGTCGTAGTTTGTTGCGATTTTTAATTATTTTTTTGTGCATATTTTCATTTGGTTTTTTATTTCATATTTTGTTTTATGAAGCGATGTGTTTTCTTACGTATAGTTTGCTCTTATTCAAAGTAAATACAATACATATATAAATTTCACAAAGAAATGTTCACTGGGTAGATTTCGTTTTGAATTTATATTACATCTCTTCCTTCATAAATTATTTTATAGCATGCTACACATTTTACATACAGAGCAATTTAGTAAACATACGTACATACAAATATGTAAGTTTATATTTACACTAGCTATACCCAGTGTGCTTTGCTACCCTAAAAGCAATATAAATAAAAAATCTTCTTAATAATTTTGAAGATTCTAACTGTAATGTTTTGGAGAGATACATTTTTTCCGAACGTTAATTAAGATTTTAATGTAATCGATGACAAATTAAAAAAAAAAAAAAAAAAAACTAATATTTTCCCAGATATACGAAATTTTGTATTTAATACATATAGCGGGTGCCAAGACCCCATTGAAAGTCCGAACATTCTCTAAATGTTCACATTAATGTCAAAGTTCTTCAATTAATATTTGAAGATTGTAGCTCTAATAGTTTCTCAGATATAATAATTTTCCAATTTAATTTATATGGGGGCTCCAAGCTCCCCATGACGAAAGTCCGCTCTTTTTTCTCCAAAATGTTCAGATGAATATTTAAGTTCTTAGTGCAAAATTTGAAGAATTTAGTTCTATTAGTTCCCAGATAAACCAATTTTTGTATATTTTATTAATATGGGAGGTACTGCTCCCCAAAATGTTTACATGGATGTTAAAGTTACTCGTGGATATTTTTAATATTCTAACTATAATAGTTTCCAAGATAAACGAATTTTTCTATTTAATTTATATTGGAGGTGCCACGCCCCCTAATGCTAATCCGCCCACTTTTTGTCTTAAATAATTATATTGATACTAAAGTTGCTCCGACAAAATTTGAAGACTAACTATTATATTTTCTCAGATATACGAATTTAATATTTTCTTAATATGGGCGTGGCACGTCGCCCACATGAAATTTCAACATAAAAAGTAGCCTATAGTTCCTTCCAGACATACAGGAAGAAACTGTGAAAATTTCAGGAAAATCGGTCCAGCAGTTTAGCCGTCTATAAAGCACAAGCAAACAAACATACATACATACATACATACATACATACATACATACATACATACATACATACATACATACATACATACATACATACATACATACATACATACATACATACATACATACATACATACATACATACATACATACATACATACATACATACATACATACATACATACATACATACATACATACATACATACATACATACATACATACATACATACATACATACATACATACATACATACTACATACATACATACATACATACATACATACATACATACATACATACATACATACATACATACATACATACATACATACATACATACATACATACATACATACATACATACTACATACATACATACATACATACATACATACATACATACATACATACATACATACATACATACATACATACATACATACATACATACATACATACATACATACATACATACATACATACATACATACATACATACATACATACATACATACATACATACATACATACATACATACATACATACATACATACATACATACATACATACATACATACATACATACATACATACATACATACATACATACATACATACATACATACATACATACATACATACATACATACATACATACATACATACATACATACATACATACATACATACATACATACATACATACATACATACATACATACATACATACATACATACATACATACATACATACATACATACATACATACATACATACATACATACATACATACATACATACATACATACATACATACATACATACATACATACATACATACATACATACATACATACATACATACATACATACATACATACATACATACATACATACATACATACATACATACATACAACAAACACACTTTCATTTTTATATATATAGATATGTAAGGTTCTTAATGCTGAGAATTTACACTCCAAAAATTTTTTATGATCGCATTTTTTGTCTTTCTTCAACTTTTGTTGACACATATGTAGGTCTATTAACTCTGAGAGATTAAACTCTTTTTTTTATTTTTATACCCACCATCAAAAAAGATGGGGGGTATATTGATTTTGTCATTCCGTTTGTAACACATCGAAATATTGGTCATAGACCCATAAAAGTATATGTATTTCGGCTCCTTATTAAATTCTAAGACGATCTAGCCATGTCCGTCCGTCCGTCTGTCCGTCTGTCTGTTGAAATCACGATAGAGACCACACGAGAGGAGCTAGACGGTTGAAATTTTGCATAAATATTCTCTATTGTTAAGGTTTGTTTGGTATTGAAAATGGGCAATATCGGTCCACTTTTTCG